CCTTCTCCAAGCGTCCCATCTTCTCCCTCCCTACCGCAGTCTCTTTTTAAACATAATTCTCAAATATTCTTTGTCCCTGTAAGTCACACTGCAACCCAATACTGCCTCCTTTGGTTCAGAGTTAATAGCAATGGCATAGGTCCAGGTTTTTTATTTAAACTTGAGAATGTGTCCAGAATGCAGACATGCGTGTTCAATAAATGCTGACCCCTTCATCCCTTTCTTTCTGATGCTCTTTCTTTCTTGTGCCTCCAAGTGCATCCACCTTCCACGTCAACATCCTTGTCAGCCTGTCAGTAACCCCTGATTCATATGAACCCTGCTAAGATTAACAGCTTTTGCTATTTGCTCTGTACTAGGCATGATGGGAGGCAGCTGGTCTATCTGTTTTATGAAAAAGAAAACCTAGGTTTCAATCTCATCCCTGTCTTCTTTTTCCATTTGGCCCACTGCCTCTGGAAGTAGTAGGCACTAGACATGGAGGTGAAACAGGTACAGATGACGCACAGGCTCCAGGCAGTGAAGCTTTCTGGGAGGCTGTCTTCATCCTTCCTTCTCTTCCATGGTTGAAGGATAGCATCTTTCTATTCTCTCTACTCATCTCCACAACTAAAATGTGCTTTTGCAAGCATTCACTGCCAGGTAAAAATGACAGACAGCAAGCTCCAATGTGACCTCCCTCTGCTGAGGGGCTCTGCATTTCAACTCAGCATTTGGATGCAAAAATGAACCAAGACCAGGCAAATTGAATTTCTACCTGCAACTGCACTGTTCAATCCAGCAAGCAGCACAGCTTTGGGGGTGGGGGGACAGAAGTTTGGAAAAAGGGAGGTGTGACAGCCAGGAGGACACAGAGTCTTCTTTTTGTACGCCATGCTCAGCCCTGCTCTGGCTTCATCTCTGTTGCCTTTGCTCCCCCACAGCCTAGTGCAGCCTGATAACCTCTTCTTCCCCGGAGAGCACTCGTCATACTTAAAAGCTTATGTCCCTTGGGTATGATAACATAATGGTGTATTTATTTTTTTGGTTCACATTTTGCATGAAAAATAGACTTAAGGTGGTTAATAAAAACATAGCTGAGGGCCCAGCAGAAGAAGTGCTGTCTTCTTTTAAGCACCTGCTCAGTCAGCAGTGGTACTTCTGGAAGCTTCTGCGATGACTTCCAGATGAAGGTAAGTGCTGTATTCTTCAGCACCTGGCAATAATGCCAGTAGAGCACCAATTTCCTAGCCCTGTGTTCAACATTCACAGTTTGTCTCCTTAACTAGATTGCGAGGCCCTATAAGGTTGGGGTTTGCTTTACTCGTCTTTGTCATTCTGTCTAACTCTGTGCTGGGGCCTTTTACACCACCCATACACCCTGGGAAGAATAGCTTTGCACTTACTTGGTGTTAGGAAATTGCAGATCTGTGGGTGAGCAGCCTGGTCAGACACTGTGAGGTGTAACTTTTCAGTGTCACTGTGGCCACACCCTGACTTAGGATTTAAAGGAAGCCCAGTGACTCTGAGACAGAATACAGAAGCCTGTGTTACCACAACACACCTCTGCCATTACGTTATGTCTTCACCTCAGTATTACCAACCCCCTGAGAGCACAGACCTAGGAGGGAGGCTGTACGAAGACTGGAGCCTCCACCTTCCCCTGCAGGACATTGGCCTTGGAACTTCATCTTTCTGTAGCGACCGGTCACCAACACAGTCCCTGTAGTTTTTCTATTTCCTAGCTCCGTGTGTGCTCTCATCTGACCCAGTCTGTGTCCCTTAACAGACATTTGTCCCCTCTTCACCCTGCTCCCTAGAACTCATATCCATCCTCAGCCATGTCCCTCTACCCTCAGCTGCTCAGCTATGGCCAGCGTCACACAGCCTCCTCAGTTGTGCTATGTTAAAGTACCTGACTTAACTCCCCTAAGTCCCATCAGGACTTCAGACTCCACCACGTTTGCATGGTGTACTTCCTCTCCCACTCTCAGAGGTGGGTGTTCACATCTTTTCTTTGCTCCTTGAACTGCCACACACCCTAGCCCTTCCTTGTTGTTCTTAGCCCATTATTGGAAGACACCTCTGTCTCTCCCGCCTTGGCTTCTTGCCTGGTGCTCACACCTTTTGCCTTCTTTGTCACTTCTTCCTCTTGGGCACTGAATCCCATCTTCTCTCTTGCCTGTGCTGCTAGTGTTCTCTGTTCTACCATCCCAGGAGAACTTCAGATGATGCTCTCTCCCCACCAATGACGACCCTCTAGATACCCCAGCAAAGCCCCCTTTCCCAGCACCACTCTAGCAAACTCTTCCAAAGACTTGTCTCTTTTCCTTGTCCCCACTTCACCTTTCATTGTCTCTAGAAAGCACACGATCGGTATTGCTCCCATTGGTCAATGGAAGCCATTAGCCTCCTTTGCTATGGACCTCCTATTGCCAAGTCCACTTGCTGTTGGTCCCCAGTCCTCCTCTTACTTCCCCAGCAGCCATGTGTGACATGGTTGAGTATTCCTGCCTTCTTCAAACATTTTCCTCTGCCTCAGCTCTCCTGAATTTCCTCCTGCCTCCCAGGTCACCCCTCCTCTACCTCCTCTGTGGGTTGCACCCTTCTTTTCCTGACACCCAAGTATCTGAACCCCCAGGCTTAGTTCCCATCTTTTTTTCTCTCAATGCCTTCCCCCGCTCCCCAGCTCTCCATTCCTGAGGATTTGCAGGTGCTGCTGAGTTCTGGTTTTTACTGGTGGTCCACCTAAACTCCAAATTCACATGTCTACTCCTTACCTGGCAGTCTACTTAGATGTCTAACAGACAATTCTCAGCCTAGTGTACAAAACAGATAATGATCCAAATTCCCTCTTATACTTGCTCTTCCAAGCTTGTCATTCTCTGTTTTTTTGTTTGTTTTTGTTTTTCTTATTATAGTAAAAATCACCACCATTTACCCAGTTATTCAGGTCCCAAACTTGGGAATTATCCTTAATTTTCCTCTTTTCTCATACCTCATTCCAAATTTGTAGCTCTGTCTTTGAAGTAACTTCTGATCATGACCACTTGCCACCTCCACCTGTCTCACCCGAGTCCAAGGCCTCAGAACCTCTGACCTCTCTCCCCTCAACTGACTTCTCCTACAGCTCCTAACTGGCCTCTTTGCTTGCACTCTTGCCCCCCAGCAGCTCATTCTCCAGTCATCAGTCAGAACCATCCCTTAAAATAACAGCCAGACAATCCCTCTTGCTCTTCCCCAAGCAGGTCAGGCTTACCCCTATCTCTGTTCTTGACTGTGCCCTCTGTCTGGGAGCTCTTCCTGCAGATTTTACAGTCCTGGCTCCTTGTGACAGTCAGGGCTCTGCTCAAATGTTCCCTCTCCAGGTAAGTCTTTGAAGATCACCTGTTCCATTACCTGTTAGGGCTTGTTGATCTTTGACTTTTGGGACTATATTTATTTGTTTACATGTGTCTCCTCAAAAAAAAAAAAAGCAAACATCTCATGGGCAAGGACTTTTCTGGCTTGTTCAGCCTAAGTGTTTAAGATGAGTGTTCAATAAATACTGAGCAAGCAGATATGTGGATAAATGTGTCAAGTTCAAGAGGCAGGAAGAGGTGGGAAGCAAGAAGGTGGGAAGCAGGGAGGTTGGTGCTCTGGCAGAGGCTTGGTAAAGAATGCTATTTCAGTAAATTCAAAGCTGTGATGTCCTTCCAGTTGCAAGCTAAATAACAATGACAGGCAGGGACAATGGAAGACCAGGTGGTGGACCTGGAAAGACCTCTCTAGAAGTGCTGTTGGATAGAAATTTCTGCAATAACAGCAATAATCTGTATCTCTGCTGCCAAAGACAGAAGCCAGTGGGCCATGTGTGGCCACTGAACCCTTGAAAGATGGCTAGCAGGCCTGAGGAACGAATTTTGATATTGTCTAATTTCGGCTCACATTTAAATAGCTACAGGTGGCTGTGGTATTAGAAGCTGAAGAATCCCTTTCCCCACCTGTGATCTCAGGATAAAAGTTGTTGAAAGAACTAGTAAGATAAAAATGTCTGACGCATACTTGGCACTCAGATATAATAGCTACAATTACAACACAGTTGCAAAGTGCAGTACTTCCCATTCATGCCATTGAAATTTGGCGCGGAGGCACTTGAAATGGACTTTTTATTAATTTTTACTGTGACTATCTGTTTGCTAAGAGTTAGTGGGTAACCAATGTGTGGTTCTATGTTTGAGTTCACTAAAAATAGCAAACAACCATTTTGGGATCTCACTGAAGGTCTTTCAGAGATAAACCACTATTCCAAGTGGATCAGCTTGCTGGTACATATAATGAGCTAATTAGTTTTGACAACAGCTAATTTAGCATCTGTAAAAAACTGGATTTGTAACATCACTGAGTTATCTTCAAACAGTGTCACCTACAACTTCCTGGGTGATGTGGGATAAGAGTAGTGTCTGTTTTAATGCTTACCTCACAAAAGAAAGGAATAAATATTTACCTACTGGAAATATGAATTCTTTAAGGTTTAAATTGGTTGGGACATAAAATAATTTTTGTTTCTTCCACACTGACCCAGAAAATAACTTTAATACAGATATAGCACCACAAACCCTTATGAGCAATCAAAGGCAATACTAAAATCACGCATTTGCTCTGAATCAGCACTGCTTGTTTTCAGGCCAAGGGAGTTTGCATTCCTCCTCAGTAGCAGAGTGAAAGTGGCATTTCAAGATCTGCCCAAGTCCTTGGTAGAGACTGAGAGTCAGAGAGCTGGGGTAGATTTAAATTAAATATCGGCTTAAAGGCATTAAGAAAAGTTGGCATTCTTATTAAGGAGACCAATTAACCTGCATCAGTTAGCAGCCACTTTACTGCTGTACACAATTACTGTTGGAAAGACTCGGGTAGAGGGAATGAAACTTCTCATTTTCAGCAGGGAGCCGTTTCACACGCAGACCCCTCTGCTACCCTTGACTGTGAGTCTTGGGGGGTGGAGCCCCTACGTACTAAGAAATGGTTCCGCAAAGACTTACCAATGGGCATCACTAGGAAAAAGGGCAGCCAGCAGAGCACGAAGCAGCCAACCACGATGCCCAGCGTTTTGGCCGCTTTCTTCTCCCGGGAAAACTTGAGGAGCCTGACGGAGAAGTGCGTCTTGTTCTTGGCGCTGCCCACCCCGCCGCCGCCTTCCGCCTGAGCATTTTTCCGATGAATGCGTAATGTCACTTGCTCTGAGTCTGACTTGTCTGTCTTGAGGCCAGACTTGAGGCCCCGGCTCTCCCTTTTGGCCACCACGTAGACGCGGCAGTACATGACCAGAATGATGGTTAGTGGTACATAGAAGGAGCCCAGAGCCGAGAAGAGCACGTAGCCCGGTTCCTCGTTGATCTGGCAGATGGTCTCGTCCTCGGGGGCCGGCTGCCTCCAGCCAAACAGGGGCCCAATGGAGATGACCAGGGAAAACGCCCAGACGCAGAGCAGAGCCCGGAGCCCTCTCCTCTGGGTGACGATGGTGGGGTAGCGCAGCGGGTAGCTCACCCCGATGTAGCGGTCGATCGAGATGATGCAAAGGCCCATGATGGACGCGGTGCAGCACAGAACGTCCACCGCTGCCCAGATGTTGCAGAAAACTCTGCCAAAGGCCCAGTAGCCCAGGATCTCGAAGATGGCTGAGAAAGGCAGCACCGTGGAGGTGAGAAGAAGGTCGGCCACCGCCAGGTTGACGATGTAGTAGTGAGTGACCGAGTGCAGATGCCGGTGACAGGCCACGGAAAGGATCACCAGGATATTCCCCAGCACCCCGAAAATGATAAGGCCTCCCAAGATCACCCCGAGCAAAATGGCTTTGGAAATGTTCACTGGCGCTGGCGGGTGGGTGCAGTTGGAGCCTTCAGAAGCATTTCCAGAGAGAAACACCATGGTCCCAGCCGGGGCCTGGCAGATCCGGCTCTGGAGGGCCACCCTCGGGCGGGGGCGGAGGAGACAGCCAGGGAGCAGGGAGTCAAAAAGTCTGGGCTTGGGCGAGCCCTGCCTGCCGGATTTGGCTGGGGGTGAGAAAGAACGCACGGATGGGAAATGACCCGGGCCAGCCCTGGGGACACTCAGAGGGCCGCGCTAAGGTGCCAGGCATTAAAGACAACATGGCCAGGGGCGCGCGGGGCGGCAGGAGACCCTCTCCACTTACTTTGCTGCCCCGGAGCCCCGACTTCCCCCCTTCCCCAGCTTGAGGAGAAGCTTGAGGACACACGTTGCCAATGCAATCCCAGAGTCACTGGAGTCCGCTTTTCTGCACCGTCTGATCCATCCCAGTCGGGTATTCTGAGCAAAATTTGGGATTCAAAATTCTAGAGCCAGTCTTCCACCAAACCACGGGCTAGAATGGGCCAGCCGTCGACGCTGAAAGGCAGGGACCATCGGCATCCGGGCGCTGCAGATGATAACTCCTGCCCGCAGCTACCCTCGACTAGGCTGCCCCATCGTGGACTCGTGCTTGAGTTGGGTGACGCAGGTGTGAAATATTTCCTGCGACCGGACCGAGGTGGCGCCGCAGCTCCGTTTGCCCGCGTCCTGCTGGAAGAGCGCAAAGAGAAAGGTGCACGTGAGCCAGGCGCCCTGGAGAGCGAGGCGGTGCTGGCAGCCCCGCTCACACTGCGGTTCAGGAGCGGTTTTTACTCAACAGATCCGAGGCGACACCGGGGCACGAGAGGGGTCTGCGTGCTGCGTCCCCTGCGCCCTCACTCCCGGGACCCTGCCTGCGCATATTCTGCCTCTCTACCTCTGGCCAAGTTCAAGATCCAAAGCACCTCCTCCCCTCAAAAAAAAAAAAAAAATCCTGAAGCCTCCCAGGCGCGACTGAGGCCGGCTGGCGTGGGTCATTGTGAGCCAAGCCGGAGAATCTACCCGGTAGTCATTTGAACAGGTTGCACTGCAGTCACCTGGAGGGGGCGGCCTGAGAGAGGGAACCTCTGAGACCCGGGAACCGCAGGGATAGTGCCACACGCACGCTCACGCCACAGGAATTTGCACTTGTAGGTTCAGAGCGCGCGGGTCTGTCTACCAGCCAAGCTGGCCCGAGAGCCAGGTCCCGAGCAAAGCCCAGCGGATCCCGAGGGCTAAACGCCACCCAGGTCGGTCCTGGTTGGGTTTCCAAGCTAAGAGTCACCAGCCCCAGGGGCTCGAGCCGCGCGAGCCACACCCGGGCTGCTGGGGAATGGGGTGGGGAGCGCATCGCTCTGCAGAAGGGGCTTTGCAAGTGACAGTCACTGCGGTTTTTGTAGGCGTAAAAATCAAGCCTGCGCGCCAGCGGACCTGGGACGCCTGGGATTTTCTGGGTTGGGGGCCACGATCTGCGTAAGAAACTTGGATTTCCACAACCGCAAAAGGTCCTCGGGGACTTGGGACAGGAGTGCGGAGTGTGGGGACGTGCCCACTTTGCCATCTAGGCTTAGGCCCTGAGACAAGAATCCCAAGCGAAGGCTACTGTGAAAATCCCAAGTTCAAGCCTTCATAGGCGACACTAAAGACGTGCCACTGCAGAACTCGCTTTTTCCTACTCGGGGCGATAAAACAGAGGGTTAAGCAAACACTTGTTAACTGGAAGGAACTTCCCAGAATCTATATAGGAAACGCGGTGGGGTAGGGGTGTTTGCATAAAACCGGGGAAAGACAGCGCCAGGCCCTGGGCTAAGTGGGGGTCGGTCTCACCTGGAGGCCAGTGGGGCGCTGTCCTCGCCCACCCGGCCCTGCGGGGTGCCTGCGCCCCGCGCCGCGCGCACTCACCTGCAGCGCGTGTGCCGGGTCACCAGCACCCACGCCGGGGAGAAGCGGACCACAGTTCCAGGAGCTGCCTATCGCCTCTTCTCTGGTCGCTGAGAGGGGACAGTCTCCGAGGAACCAAATCCTAATCGTTTTTGCACTCGCTGACTCACCCCTCCACCACGGAGTCAAATTCCGGACTCGCACTGCTTTACCTGAATATTCTTAAAATAGTGGACACAGAAAAAGAGAAAAAAATGTAGCCAATCATTAACTCCACAGTCACCCCTTTAATATTCGTCTCCTCGACACCAGAAAAGACTGGCAAGGAACTTTGCAGCTCCCGCTGACGTAACACAGGCAGTAGCCCAGCTAGTACCGTAATCTCCTGCTCTTACCGTATTCCTCTCTGGCAACTGCAGAAGTGCCTGCAGCCCACCCTTTTTTTTTTTTTTTTTCTCTTTTTCTTCCTTTCTGGGCTGGGCTTTCGTTTTTCTTTAAAAAGGTGTGTGTGTGTGTGTGTGTGTGTGTGTGTGTGTGTGTGTGTGTGTTGGGGGAGGAAAGTTACTTAAATGACTTTAAAAGGTCTGATTTTAAAAAAGAATTGGCACTCCCCCTTTCGAGGTATTTACTGTGTGTGTGGTGTGTTCACAGAAATCCCCCTCAAAAGTCAATCTGAACAGCTTAATTTAACACGTGGCCCAGGTTTGTTAAAATACAGAGACATAGTGTTACATTAGATGGGCAGCTAAATTATATTATTTGCAGATGTTTTAAAAGTAAGTAAATAGGGTAAAATTTAATAAATTTGATTGTAATAAAATGCTTCCAGAAAGTGAGTATATCTAAATCTTTGTTAAATATAATCCTCTTTCACTTCTGTAGACAAGTGGATTTAAAAAACCTGTAGTTTTCTAGCTTTTGTAAGAAAACCTATTCTTGAACAAGTGAGTGTCACTTCTCTTTAATTCTCTTAGATTCATTAATACGTGGAGTATGGAAAGTCGACACGACCAGTCTTATTTACTGCTTTTTTTCTTCCTGGTAAATCCCATGCTCTACTTCCCTTAAGGTTAAATAAAATCATGCGTGTTTCAGAAAATTAAAACGAAACAAAAATTTTTCCTGCTTTTTAAGTCATTTTCCTTCATGTTCATCGATGCAGATAATGCATCATTTCTAGGAGTATTTGTTAGGTTCCCTTAAGCTTAATAATAAAAAGATAACTCTGAGCAGTGGTGTATGGTTAAATTCCTTCCCTTGAACAAAAATTTATTCCTTTCATTACCTTTTTCAGTTGAGATGTTTGGAAGACTCTTGTATATCAAGATGCAGGGAAATGCCCACAGGAGGCTGAGGGGATCCTGTACCATCAAAGACCAAGTATTTAATTTCCTTCTCTTTTATGCACAAAAGCTCCCTGCCCCCTTGTCTCTAGAGACAATGCCCACACCCACCACCTACATTTGTTTTGATGTGACTTTAATATTATTTAAAAATATATTCCTCAATCCGTACACTGAATGTTAAGCTGTAGAAAGTACACTGGCTGAGCGGACAGGAAATACGGCTCTTGTAGCCAGAGCCCACTCTGATGACTAAGCCACGTACTGTCTCTGAGATTCAGTCCTTTCGAGTGGAGGACACTGCTCTCCAGTTCCCTGCCATTTTTATATCACATCATTGAATATATGTATAAAGGCTCCTCTTCAGAAATCTCATTCCCCAGCAGAACTCTCATCGTCTCCCTTCATATTCACTAACCTCGTGCTATGAGCATTTGTTCTCTATTAAGATCTGTGCCATGGTAGATAAGGGAAGTGGTGTTATCTGCAAGTAAAACAACTGAAAATTGCTCAGTTGTGCAAGGTCAAAATTTACAAAGGTCTTTGGGATTCCTAATCCTCCGGCCTCAATAAATAAGACCATACCTCACCCTGGATAAGGAACCAGCTGATGCTAGGTCTGCCAGAAAAGTCCCATATGGTACCAGCCAGGTCTTTCAAATCTGCTCCCTTGCCTTTGAGCATTAATCTTTGCAAAGTGAAGTCTCAGGGTCTGCTTTTCAGATGCTGTCACCTCACAAACAGGAAACTATCCATGGAATAGTTACTTTTGAGGGCGAGGTTGATATGGATGACTCAGACACTAGGGAGGTGCAGTGCGGAGAGTGCAGTCGGTGAGGCCCTGAAGGCGCTGTCTCCATCGTCCTGTGAGCCCATGGTAAAACTCAGCTTTTCAGAGTCTTGTTTTCCTAATTCTCAAAGGGTGGCAATGAAGCCCGGTGGGATCATTATGGGACTGAATGAACCACCTGTGTCAAGAATGCTGCTCAGAATGTATCAAGTCTTGTATTATTCGTCCTATCATTCCTTTCCCTTTCTGTTTACGTAGTGTGTTATTTCACTGAAAACCATTTTATTAGCATATATTCATTGCACAAAGGGGTTTCATTGTGGTATTTCCATATATGAATATAATGTACTTTGAGCAAATTCACCTTGTATGTGTCTTTAAATTGAAATAACTCATGGTAGTCCATGGACACTGGAAGACTCAGTTAGAGATGTACAGAATGACCTGAGCATTACACTTGGGCCCAATGGCAAAATCAGAATGACTCAAATGACAAGTTGAGAAAGCTGGCTCTGGACACTGGCTGCTCCTCTTCCACATTCCCTTCTGGCCCCACAACTTGAGGGGCTGTGTGAACGAGGGTGAACACCTCATGTACAGGTAGCTGACTCCTGGCCTTGGGTATTAGGATGTACCTGTGATGTTGTTGGATGGGACAAAGTAAAAGGTCTAAAGACTGTGAAAAAGACTGCATGGTTGTTTGACAGCAAGGGATTTTTATGGACCCAAGAGCATGGGCTATAAGAGAAGGTGCAGGCTTCAGGCAGGCATAGCATGTTAGTCCCATGGACCCTTTGTCCTGAGGGGAAAGCCTTAGTCTTAACCCCAATGAGAGGCCTCTCTTGCTTCAACCTAAGGTGTAAGCCTCAGGTGTGATAGAGGCTGAGAAATCCAGTGAAGGGGAGGCTCTGGGAAGGCTGGTGGGTGATGTTGCTTGATGAGCAGGATTCAGATGGGTGGACAGAGTGGGAAAGGAAGATTGACAGCAGTTGCATCAGTGGTGTGTGTATGTGTGTGTGTGTGTGTGTGTGTGTGTGGGTGGGTGGGTGTGAAGGCCTGGGCAGTCCACACATACCTGATGCCTTCAATTGGCAGGGCTCAGTGATTAGTAAGTAAATGTGAGAGATTTTGAGGTTTTTAAAAAAAGTCTGTCAATCATTCTCTTAGAAAATAACACACAAGAGAATTAAGACTGTTTTCTGGGATTTATGATTCCAAGTGACAGAGAAAGAGGGCTTAATGTTAGTATCCACCCAAAGACCTGGTTTTTCAACTAATTCTCTCAAGGCTTAAAAAGTTCAAGTGGGAGGAAAATGAAAAACATTGCTCAGAAAGGTATTGATGCAGCATCAATCCAAACAAGCATTGTGTTCCAATCCTTTATCGAACAGAGAAAACTGCACAGTGCACAGACG